TCTTCACAAAAAATACAAAAGAAATCAGGTACGATTATTGACTCACAAATTCGAAAAATTATTCTAGCTATGTTTAACGATCCAGAGGTTATAGAAACGATTAAAAACAATATTAATAATATGAATTTATCTATGACTCAAAGAGTCACCCCTAAAGGGCCTGCAAAACCTAACTTTATAAATTATCGAGAGCCGGCCCCAGAAATATCTGAATCAGATGGAGAAGAGGAGATATTGAATGATCCTATGGAGATTGATTTTGTCCGTCGGAAAGAACCGGTAATTAGTATTGCAACTATACCAGTTAAAATTAAATGCTTAAAAATTCCAGCATTGGTACTAGATAGTGGTGCTGAACCTGCAATTGTATCAGAAGATATTGTTAAACGTGTAGGCGGGAAAATAGATAAATCGGAAAAATATGATCTCAGTGGCGTCGCTACTGTTCCAACGGAATCTGTTGGTATTTCTCATAATTTGCCAATAACATTTCCTCCAGGTTTTACTATACGTGAAGATTTTGTAGTTGTACGAGTTCCTAAACCGACATTAATATTTCCAAATCCACTTCTTAAAAAATATAAATGTGCTGTAGACTGGGGTAACGATAAAATGAAAATTCATTACAATGGAGAAGATTTTATTATTCCGGTCACTATGCACAAAGTCAAGAATAAACTCGAAGTAAATTGCGCTACTACATCTCAGAATAATAGGAACGGAGTCCCATTGCTTTGCAATAAGCCTTTGGTATCTGATCAAATTTCTCAAGAGATTGATAGTAATGAGGGGATAATAAACCATTGGAGGAGGAATGGCATGCTCCTGCGGGTTTTAGCCTAGATTCGACTTTAAAAAAAAACGTATGAGCTATGAGGAGTTAGAAAAATCGCTATATGAGGTACTCGGATCCAATACCGAATTAATCGAGCTTAATAAAAAACTATGGACCTATAGAAATGAGTCTGATATTGAAATGGTATGTAGATTATTGCCCAGCAATGGCCCTTTGGGTCTACAAACTACTCTAGAAAAAACAAAAGTGGATTAGTTGGAATCTAAGACTCTTTTCGTCTCATGTTTAGCTTCTTCTCTTTCTTTGCGATTTTGTGCAAGCCTAGCTTGTAAATTATCCATTTCAACTACTTTTTTTATTAGAATATTTACTGAATCAGATACCCGAACAGATCTAGAACTGGATCCTGGGTTTCTTTTTTTTGGCTTTCTATCTGAAGTATTATTTTCAAACATTATTTCAGAAGAAACAACACTATGTATTAGTTGCTGTTTACGCAAGGGTATGCTTTTAGCATGTCTTTTCCAAATTTCATATATTCTACAAGTTGAAGTACTATATCTATTAGCCATTTTCCTGCATACATTTTAACTGTCCCTCGAGATTGAATGATTTCCTCAATAGCTTCTGGTGATAAATAAGGAGTACCAGCACAATAATACTCTACAGTTATGTGTTCCATCCTTTTTATAATTATAAAAAATTATCGAAAATTATTGAAAATACTAAAATACTCCTATTTCTCTTATGTTAAAAAATGATCGGTAATCATAGGTAATTACATACTTAATATTCAATAATTTTCTAAAAAAATCAGTAATTATCTATTATTGTTGAATTATATTGGAGCGTAATTTCTTTGATAGCATTATCGATAAGTATATATGTGTTTCATATTTTGCTATTTTTTATAATATTTCTCTTTATTTAATATGGCCAATGTAATAGACCTTAAAAAAGAATTATATAATGCCCTCCAAGATTCTTCTAAGATAGTTTCATACAATGCTAAATTGCAGGATAAGTATGAAAAACAAGAAAAAAAATCAATCGGAAGAGAGGTCAATGGGATCGGGATAGAAAGAAGTGGAGTAAAAAACTAGAAGGGGTTAATACCGAAATCCAGAAATTACGTACTCATAATCTCGAACTCATTGATGAAGCTAGGCGTTTACAGATTGAAAATGCTAATAGATATAGTACTTCAACTCGTAGAATATATAAAATTTGGAAAAGACATGCTGAAGGCATACCCTTGCGCAAATAGCAACTAATACATAGTGTTGTTTCTTCTGAAATAATGTTTGAAAATAATACTTCGGATAGAAAGTCAAAGAAAAGAAACCCAGGATCCAGTTCTAGATCTGTTCTGGTATCTGATTCAGTAAATATTCCGATAAAAAAAGTAGTTGAAATAGATGATTTACAAGCTAGACTTGCACAAAATCGCAAAAAAAGAGAAGAAGCTAAACGTGAGACGAAAAGAGTCTTAGATTCCAACTAATCTACTTTTGTTTTTTCTAGAGTAGTTTGTAGACCAAAAGGGCTATTGCTGGGCAATAATCTACATACCATTTCAATATCAGACTTATTTCTATAGGTCCATAGTTTTTTATTAAGCTCGATTAATTCAGTATTGGATTCGAGTATCTCATATAGCGATTTTTCTAACTCCTCATAGCTTATGCGTTTTTTTTTAAAGTCGAATCTAGGCTAAAACCCGCAAGAGCATGCTATTCCTCCAATGGATCATTATCGCTCTCATTACTATTCGGCTTTTGAGAAATTTGATCAGATACCAAAGGCTTATTGCAAAGCAATGGGACTTCGTCTCTATCATTCTGAGATGTAGTAGCGCAATTTACTTCAAGATTATTTTTTACCTTGTGCATAGTAACTAGAATAATATGATCCTTTCTATTAAAAGGAATTTTCAACTCATCTTTACCCCAATCTATAGCACATTTATATTTCTTGAGAAGTGGGTTTGGAAATA